GAAATACTTTAGCCTGGATGTATCATCTCAAGCATCTCATACTTAACATGGCCCATTCTTATTATCTACTTCACACACACACCTGACATTCTCACTTGTTTGTTCATGACATAAGGGAAACACAAATCCATTCAAGTGAGACGCCCCAGAGTCATCCTCTACTCCTCTTCTTCTCTCTCCACTTGAAGTTACCGAATTCTCTGAAAAGCTAATCGGCCACTCATCACCACGCCCACTGCCATCACCCTCAGTCCAGACCTTCATTTTTCACCACTGTTGCCACAAGAGTTCTCCATGCTTAGTCCCCATAGTTCAGCCTCAAAGCTGCTGCCAGAATTAGCATTCATATCCAGGCACACCTCATTTTATCGTGCTTCCCTTTATTGCACTTCACAGATAGAGTTTTTTCCAAACTGAAGGTTTTGGCAACCCTGCGTCAGCACCATTGGTCCAACATCATGTGCTCACTTCATGTCTCTGTGTCACATTTTGGTGATTCTTGCAATATTTCAAACGTTTTTTATTATTATTGTGTCTGTTATGGTGATCTATGATCAGTGATTTTTGGTGTTACTATTGTGATTGGTTTTGGGTGCTACAAACCATGCCCATATAAGACAGTGAACTTTAATCCATAAATGTTTTGTGTGTTCTCACTACTCCACCGACTAGCTATTCCCCTCTCTTCCTTTCTTCAGGCCTCCTTATTTCTTGAGATACAACCACATTAACCTGAGACACAACAATATTAAAATTAGGTCAATTAATAACCCTACAATGGCCTTTCAGTGTTCAAATGAAAGGAAGAGTAACACATCTCTCACTTTAAATCAAAAGTAGAAATGATTAAACTTAGTGAGGAAAGCATGTTGAAAGTTGAGACAGGCTGAAGGCTAGGCCTCTTGCACCAGTCACCCAAGTTGTGAATGCAAAGTAAAAGTTCTTAAAGGAAATTAAAAGTGCTATTCCAGTGAATGCACAGAAATGATAGGAAAGCAAAATGGCCTTATTGCCGATACGGAGAAATTGTTAGTGGTCTGGACAGAAGATCAAACCAGCCACAATATTCCCATAAGCCAAAGCCTAATCCAGAGCAGGGACCTAACTCTCTTAAATTCTGTGAATGCTGAGAGAAGTGAGGAAACTGCAGAAGTTTGAAGCTAGCAGAGGGTAGTTCACGAGGTTTAAGGAAAGAAGTCATCCTCGTAACATAAAAGCGCAAGGTGAAGCAGCAAGTGCTGATGAAAAGCTGTGGCAAGTTATCCAGAAGATCTAGCTAAGATAATTGATAAAGATAGCTACACCAAGCAATTGATTTTCAATGTAGATGAAACAGCCTTATATTGGAAGATGCCATCTAGGACTTCCACAGATAGAGAGGAGAAGTCAATGCCTGGCCCCAAAGCTTCAAAGGACACTGACTCTTTCAGTAGGGGTTAATGCAGCTGGTAACTTTAAGTGGAAGCCAATGGTCATTTACCATTCTGAGAATCCTAGGGCCCTTAAGCATTATGCTAAATGTACTCTGTGCTCTAGAAATGAAACAACAAAGCCTGGATGACACCACATATGTTTACAGCATGGTTTAATGAATATTTTAAGCCCACTGTTCAGATCCACTACTCAGAAAGAACGATTTTTTTTTCAAAACATTACTGCTCATTGACAATACACCTGATCACCCAAGAGCTCTGATGGAGATATACAAGGAGATGAATATTGTTTTCATGCCTACTAAGACAACATCCATTCTGCAGCCCATGGATCAAGGAGTAATTTCAACTTTCAAGTCTTATTTAAGAAATACATTTTAAGTCTATAGCTGCCATATATAGTGATTCCTGTAGTGGATCTGGGCAAATTGAAAATCTTGTAGAAAGGATTCACCATTCTAGATGCTATTAAGAACATTCAAGATTCACAGGAAGAGGTCAAAATATCAACATTAATAGGAGTTGGAAGATGTTGATTCCAACCCACATGGATGATTTTAAGGGGTTCAGTGGAGCAAGTAACTGCAGATGTGTTGGAAATAGCAAGAAAACTAGAATTAGAAGTGGTGTCTAGAGATGACTGAATTGCTGCAATTTCATGATAGAACTTGAACAAATGAGAAGCTGCTTGTTAGGAATGAGCAGAGAGAGTAGAAGGAATCTACTCCTGGTGAAGATGTCGTGAACGCTGTTGAAATGACAAGGATTTAGAATATTCATGAAATTAGTTGATAAAATAGTTACAGGGTTTGAGAGGATTGACTCCAATTTTAAAAGAAGTACCAATCACATGCTACAGAGAAATCTTTTGTGAAGATTGATGCAGCAACTTTGTTGTTCTCTTATTTTAAGAAATTGCCACAGCCACCCCAGCCTTCAGCACACACCACCCTGATCAGTCAGCAGACATCAGTATCAAGGCAAGATCCTCTACCAGCAAAAAGATTCCAATTCTCAGAAGGCTCAGATGATTGTTAGCATTTTTTAGCAATAAAGTATTTTTAAATTAGGGTATGTATATCGGTTTTTTTAGACATAATGTTATTGCACACTTAAACAACTATAGTGTAATGTAAACGTAACTTTTATAAGCACTGGGAAACCAAAAGACTTGTGTGAACCACTTTATTGCGATATTTGCTTCATTGCAGTGGTCTGGAACCAAACTCACAGTATCTCTGAGGTATGCCTATACATCTATTATCTATCCACATACATATACATACATATATATATCAATGATATATATACTTCGTATATTTTATATATATATACTTATACATGATTTATCATCTATCTACTTATATAGTATTATCACATCCCTTTTCAAAAGCCCTTTAATTTGCCACTGACTACGGGATTCAATAATGCAAAGTATTCAGCACTCTCAGACCTCAGTCCCCTCGCTACAGCCCGTCTAAGCTGTGCTTCTCTCCACTGCCAGAATACTTCAGGTCCTGTGCACCTTGGCACACGCTGCTCACTCTGGCTATACCCTTCTCCCCACAGCCACCACTTTTCTACCTGAATTGAGTTTGCTGCCTCACCCTTCACTCTCACAGCTACCCCACAACTGCCCCCCACCCCGCCCACCTCCACACTGAACTTCTACAACCACCATAATAAAATAAGATCGGGACTTAGGCACTCCAAATACTATACAGTGTGACAGGCAACAGCTGAAAATGATAGCACAGACACATTAAATCATCCCACTGAGGAACTATTCCTCAAAATTTGCAGAACTTTCTGCTCAGCAACACACATGCGGTTGCTCAGTGAGTTCCCCAAAGTCAACAATTGGAAACCCATTCAAATAAAGCAAATGTATTAAAACATAAAAAACAAAAACCACAACTTTACACAACTCTTTACTACCTGCAACCACTAACACCTAGCCTTGTTCCTGATGTGGACCATGGAATAATTATGAGCCGATTCTGGCCACTCTTGAGGCATGAGAAAGCCAAACCCAGCACAGGCAGTGGACACGTGCTTTGGGCTCCACAGGTCAGTCTCTGAGACCCTTTCCTCCCCATCGGCCAGTGTCCTTGGATACGTGAAAGCAGTCTAACTGACCTTAGGGAAAACCACCCACTTTATCATGAAACATAATATTCAGTTGCCCAAATAAAAATCAGAAAAACAATGTTAGATGACAAGAGCTGAAGACACTAGTTCAAGATCCTCTTCAAGACATTTTTGGGAAATCTTTGTTCAGAGAAATAACAATGTTACTTCTTAGGAATACCACTCCCCTGATAATATTTCTGATTTGAAATTAATTTCTAGTGATACGGGGACAGTACAGAAACTTGCCCCCAGTGAATTACCCCAGGAAGAACCATTATTCTGGGAGGCACCTGATGCATTTTGCACCTTTTCTCTGCCCTCTTCAAGTTTTCTTACATGGCAACTTAATAAAGACAATAGCTAATACTAACATAGTACTTTGCATTTATGTCAATTACAATTCTAGAGTCAGATATTTTTATTCCCACTTTACAGATGAAAACTGAAGATAGCAGTTAACTAACCCAAGACTTGATAATTTACTTTCTCCTTAGACAAGCTGGATTGTTCCTCATTATCTATAGTATAGAGCCCAAATCACTGAATATTAAGACCTCAAATTGCTACTCAAACTTCCCATTCCAAGTTCTCCCAACACCCCCTTCCCCAAATCCCCATAACCCTGAATTCCCATCAAACACTTCCCCATCTTTGTGCCTTGCTAAGAACAGATGTGCCATACTAGCAGTCACATTTTGCCTGCAAATGTGTTTTCTGGTCTGATTAAACTTGAGACAAAATTTATTTTCATATTAAAAATCAGATTTACAGTTATTAGGATTTTATTCAGAATTTCATCTGAAATAAAGGTCTGAAGCTAGGCCAAAACTGTGAATAAAAACGATCAGTTGGAGCAAAGTAGCAGTTGCCCTCATTGGTCAGGGCACGCTGTCGCCAGTGTTTCACAGCTGCCATCGGTCACACAAAGTATGACAAATTCACTTGCTTTTGTTACTGACTTGATCCCTAAAGGCCTTTGACACAGTGCCCTAAAACCATCTTTTCCCTACGTAAGCCCCACCTAGCTTTCAAGACTAAGCTCAAATGTCACCTCCTCTTATAAACATTTCCTAAATATTCCAGCTGAACTTTATCTCCAGCCTCTCTGAATTCCCTTAGCATTCGGCTTGTGTGTTACAAAACATCACAATCTTCTTTATAATTAGTGTGTGCATGCTTCACTAAGAACTAAGTAGAGACTCTGAGTCAAGGTTAAGTGATCAATTCTGTTATCTTGGGCTATAAAACTGGACATAGCATACTGCGTTCTAGGACTTGAGCTCTACATTAAAAAAAAAAAAGAGCTACATTAGTACACTGAACAGGGTAGACAGAAGTGACTTTACACACACACACACACACACATTCTATTCACCATTCACTCCTCATGACCCTTCTGCCTGCCTTCTGCTTACAGAAAAATCATAAGACAACTTGATGGATGTGTTCTTATTTTTTTAATAGAAACCACATTACGTCATTTGTTACTGCAGATAATAAATGAGAGGCAATAATTCAAGGGGGCCCCAGAGAGCTTTTTCATCCACAAAATAACAGAAAGGATAAGCACCTTCACCATCCAAGAATTTGGTAAATCTTTTTCTTTTGATTTCCGTTCGCTCACCCACACCAGCATGCTGCTTCCAGAATGGAACTCTGTCTTCAAATTTTATACTACTTAGGAGGCTAGTCTATTGGTTTGCCTTAATAATGTGATGGAGGTCCCTAACTCATCTGAGGAATCTGGACAAGTCTTCTTTGATTTCAGCTTCATCCCAAGGTCCATGAATGTTTTCTTTAAAAAGCTGCAGGCGAATGAGGTAGTAAGGACAGAGACATGAGATGGAAATCAGCAGCAGGGCAAAGAGTATGGCTCCCACAACACTAATGGACAGCAGGCCTCCCAAGGCTGAAAACGCAAACAGCAGAGTGACCCCCACATAGCTGCGGGGAGTACATGCCTTCAGTTTCTTCTGTAACATGGGCCACAGGGCAAAAATCTGGATGGCAAAGGTCACCATGATGAAGGCATGCAGGGACTGGGGAAGGCGTGAGGCCAGGCAGACAGAAGCAAAGATGGCCATGTTCAAGGACAGTGTGCTGGACACAATGGCAGCATTGGCACCATAGTCGAAGAAGATGAGGTGGCCTAACAGCATGAAGGCTGACATGGCATAGATGGTGTCAGTGCTGACAGACTCTGTCAAGGTCTTCAGCACTGGCGAAAAGCCGTAAGTGAAAGTAATGAAGACGAGAGCGCTCTTCAGGTCAGCCCACCGGGTCCGCCCACTCTTCTCCCGTCCTTCACCTCCATCGAGAAGATCAAACAAAACATACCCAATCAGTGAAGAAGCCAGGCCAGTCCCAAAAAGCCACTGGGGGGCCAGAACACCCTCATCCATGTACCACCAGATAACCACAAAAACACAGACACTGCACAACTGCTGTATTACCACGCTAGACTCAAATACTACAGCCCAATACTGGTATTTCCGAGCATAGATGTTTTTCCGGAGTTCTTCCAGGAACCGCTGGTCCACGTAGTTATCAGGGAAAGGCTGTCGCTCATACAAGACCTTCTGCCACTTGGCTTCCTTGGTGTTAGTTACAGGTTGGGCACACATTATCCCTTCCCTCAAACTCAGGCCAGTTCAATCTCTTTCGCAGAGGTCCATGTGGTTCATTCTTTACGAAGTTTTGAAACAAGACCTCTCTGGAAATTCCATGCTGTGGTTGATATTCTACCGACCTTTCCTTGTTTTCAAAGGCAGCAACACAGGCTAGGCCTGCAATAGATGAGTTTGTTCTCTGAGACAGGACAATACAGCCAAGTTCCTAGAAAAAGAGAGACTATGAACCTATGAAAGTTGTGAAAGATCACAGGTAGGACTGAGTTAAAACTAAACCAACTCACTTTACTAAAAGTCTGAGCAAAATGTATGTGGTGGCCATCTTATAATTCGGAACATTAAAACTGCATTTCAAGTTTTTAAATTATAATCCTTGAATAATAAAAGCTATGTTAGCTATCACTTATTGAGTGGCTGTATGTCAAGTACCTTATGTATCTTCTTTCACTAAATCTTCGAAACCTTGCAAGTTAATATTAATCCCATTTTAGTTAAAAAAAAAAAAAAAAAGCTGAGATTCAAATTGCTTAGTACTTTGGCCTAAGGTAACAGAGTGGTGTAGGATTCGAACCAAAGTCTGATCCCAAAGCCTGTTCCTCACATCGTACCTCACTCTAAGCCAGTTCTTAACTCAGGGGTTCACACAGCCCTGCATGCCTATATCTGAAGTTGATGCAAATTTATAGGGATAGAATCCATACCTTTTATTGGGTTCTCAAAGGATGTTATTTTTTAGTTACTTATCTAAAGACAACAGTAAACTGCACAACACTGAAAGGCACGAGCTCTAAGGTTTATTTAGCCAAAACCAAGGACTCAAAGAAACTAAAGATTTTTCATCTATTACCTGAGTTTAACATCCTTTAAAGAGCCGTCATTCTACTTAAAAGAGCGAAACTCTTTGTGAGGATCGAAAAAGATAATCATCCCTTTTTCACAATGGGAAACTAAGAATCAGAAATACTCAGCTCCTCCAGCAAATCTGAGAAAAACAAAAATTCATGTTGCCCGACCTTATTTCTTCCACCGAGACCACGACAGGTTTTGCTTTGCAAGCTACACACCCTGGAGCCCCCTTCGCTGCAGCAGGGACCCCGGCCCGGGAATCTCGGCCGCTGCCGGGGCTCGAGGGTCCGCAGAGCCAAAAAGGGCAACGCTCGCCCGCAAGATGGGGAATAGGGCTGGGCGAGGGTAGGAAGTGTAGAGCAGGGTGACCCGGGAGCGCCCCATCACCCGCCGGGCCTCCGCCGCCCGCCGCCGCCCCTCACCCAGCCTCGGGCCTGCGGGGGAGCAGAGGAGAAGGAGACCCGGAAACAGTGACCGCCACACGGAACCCACCTGCCCGTGAGCTCCTAGGGGTGCGCGGCCGGCGGAGGGCGGCCGTCCGCCTCCTTCCCGTCCGGGGCGCCGGGGGTGACGACTGCGGCCGAGCACTTCCGGGTCCGCCACAACCTCCGCGGCAAGAGCGCCCTGCCCAGGCCGGAGGCATCGTGCGGTCGCTGCTGCCCCCTTCTGGTTGCTCAGAGGACCTCCGAGCTCCTCTTCCCGGAGACCTGCCCCAAGAGGAGAGCAAATCCCCAGCAGAAAGACAAGGGGTTTGCCATTCAGAGGGCTGGGGAAGGCAAGAGTAGACAGAGAAAGAGGCCGGGCTGGCAGAAGAGAAGAACAGCCACTTTTGTGGAGCTCCTGTCGTTAATCCAGGCCCTCAGCTAGGGACTTCCCATGCCTCCATGCGTTCATTAGACAGATACCCAGCGGGTTCAGCGCTGTTTTTGGTGCATGATACAGCAGTAAATGAACAGATAAAAATCCCTGCTCTCATGGAACTCTCTCGTGCATTGACCTTTACACTGATAATACAAATTCCCTTCTCATAGTGGACAAATCTGAGGCTCAGAGAAGCTGAAATTTGTCCAAAGCCAGGTATCTGGGAAGTGGATGAACAAAGATCAATACCCTGTTGTCTATAGCTTCAAAGCTTGGTTCTTTTTTTGAGGGTGGAGGGCCCTGTGTCTGAAAACATAGCCAGAGGCTTGGGACAGAAGATTGCTAATATTCAGCTGAGTTCATGGAAATATTAGCGGATGTATAAACAGATGGAAGTAATAAAAAGCAAAGTGAAACACAGGATATAGTGGAAACAAAAGTCAAAAAACATGAACCCATTGACTAGCTGTATGACCTAGGGCCAATCACACTATCTTCATCTGTAAAATGGAGATGACACTATTTGCTCTTGGCTACTTTATAGGATGCTTAAAAGAGTCAAATATAAAACGTTTTGTGAAGTGTTGACTGCTATATGGCTGCTATTAGCTTACTTTGGTCATTGTCATGATAGCAGTGGTCAAGTGTGATAAATTATGCAAAGTGATCTCTTTCCATTTCTCTCCAGGCTTCTGTTCCAAAATTTGACAAGGTTCCTTGGCTTAGCGAAGCCAGCCTCGTAAACAAGCCACTAGTGCTCAGCATCCCCAAAAGGTAACCGCTCAGCCACTGAGGGCAAAGTCTTCAAGAAAGGTCTTAGAGAAGATGATTTCTTAAGGCATGGGGGCAATTATCAGAGGCACACATCCGATCAGTTGAGAAACCCTAGTCAAGTGCTCACAAAACAGAAATGTCCTGAGTTTCTCAGATAAAAGTGAGAAATGGGTCTGGCTAGAGGAGATGAGATCCCAAGTAACCTCCCTTTCTACCACCACCACTCAACATGTCAGAGAATCTTGCCCCTAGACACTGCCTCTGAAAACACTTCTGTCCTCTTCTTCACCCAACTTTTCTCCTCTGCTTCAGTTTGAAACTTTCAAATTTTAACCATCAGAAGTCTAAAACCAGAACTTCCCATCTTTACAGAGTAGCAACTATCCGTATCTAACCTTGAGGCACTCTCCTCCCCCTCATCAGTCTCACCCCTCAAACACACCGCTGCAGGACACACAGTTCTGATTCTCAAATTTGGAGGAAATAACACGTATAGGGAGCGTTTCAGCTGCCACTGAAATTGGGGTCACTCATTCCTGATGAAGCGGCTCCTAGGTGTGGTGACGCACCCCACTCTGGGAAGAGGGAGTGGAAGGAGGGCTGTGGGGGGTGAATGGGAGAAACCGGAGGCACAGAGGCAATTCCACACGTGATCACAGACTGAAAAGCGTTGGCTCCCTGGCAGGTGAGGCAGCTTGCTAGAAAGGTGAGACTCTCCGAAAAGAGTCTTTCCTCCTCTTGGTAACCACGGTAACCACCGTGGACCTTCCCGCCCAGAGTAAGTGACTCTTGATGAGGGCTGGCCCGTCGCTCTCTCCGCAGCCCCACTTCAGAAAGACACACCTTTGCTTTGTCTACTGCACCTTTTTTTTTTTTTTTTGAGACAGAGTCTCACTGTGTTGCCCGGGCTAGAGTGCCGTGGCCTCAGCCTAGCTCACAGCAACCTCAAACTCCTGGGCTCAAGCGATCCTCCTGCCTCAGCCTCCCGAGTAGCTGGGACTACAGGCATGTGCCACCATGCCTGGCTAATTTTTTCTATATATTTTTAGTTGTCCGATTAATTTCTTTCTATTTTTAGTAGAAACGGGGTCTCGCTCTTGCTCAGGCTGGTCTCGAACTCCTGAGCTCAAACGATCCTCCCGCCTCAGCCTCCCAGAGTGCTAGGATTACAGGTGTGAGCCGGCCTCTACTGCACCTTTTAACAAACCACATTCTCAGTAAGCAGTCAGACAGTTTGATGTATTTTCAGAACAAAATACACAAATGCTTTCAAGTGTTTATTGTTCAGCTTTGTTATCTTTATATAACTTTGAATATTTTTAAAGCAGGTAATCCAGAGGTCCAATAAACACAAAGGCTTGTTTAAGAAATAAAAACACTAAGTGGCATAGTTCTTATGAAGTGTTGTTAGCACTTCAAAGATCAGTATGAGTAAGGACAGTCTAGTATCTTTCCCCTGGGGGTGGGGCACTAACTCACACGCCATGACCGTCAGATGGGTGGCGTTAACGAGTACAGCCGGCCGGATGTAGGCTGCGGTGGATGGGAGATCACCCCCTAAGCAAAGGGCACAGCCTGCCCTCTGCCCCAGCCAGCGTGGCCTGCAGGTGTGTGAGTCCATTTGGCCAAATGTGTTGATCTTTCTAACAGTACTAGAAATCCAGCTATGTTATGTGAGGTTACTGGTGTTTGGCATCTAATAGAATAGCATCCCACCATCCCATGCTACCCCCGGCTCCCTTGTTCCCTAGTTCTAAAGCCTTGGCAGACTGTGGGGAGCAGGCAGCAGGGAGCAGGGCAGGCTCAGAATACAACGGGGCATGCACAGCACCTGCTCCCGTTCACAGAGTGTCAGAGCAGACAATCTGTCACCAGCCAGCTAGAAAGGGAGGGGCCTGTTTTCCCTCCAGCCAGCCAAACTTGAGCTAGCTTACAAGGAGAAATCACCGAAGATGAGCAGTGAAGCTCTATTCGTCTTTATTCTGAGAGGATCTGGGCAGCAATCTCAACCCTTGTCTAGAGAAATGGAGCTTACCTGCCTCACAAGAATTCTAAGATAACAAGACAGTATCCGTGAGGTGCCCTGAGCTCTCAGGAGGACAAGACGGGAATGCCAAGTCTTTTGAAAGGATGGTTCGCTTAAGTCTCAACCATTCTTAAGGATTAGAAACTTCTCTTCTGGCAGAAACTCTGGCTTCCAAGCTGTTTATTTGTAGCACAACCTTTTTTCTGAAACTTTGAGGGAAAGTTCTCAATGTACTTGGAGTGTTACATAGCCTTGGGCAAGCAGTTCTAACGCAGAACAGTCTGGAAAAGATAAAGGAACATTTAGTGCACCGAGCTGAGAGTACCCCCAACTGCGAAACCCACTTGCGGGGCTGGGGCGGGAGCAGCTGGGCCCTGACGGGGGGCGCCCGTGCCCACCCACTGCCTTTGAGGACTCTCAGGTTGGCCTGACCGTGTTGAGCCACGCTCATCTTCAGTCTCCAAAGCCTTCAGGTCGTGCAGAGGTCCTGTTTATATTAAGATTACTGTGCGCCGAAGCAGCCCTAAACCGGCCTCCAGGCCCCTCCTGGTCAGCATGTGGGCGACAAGTCCCAGGCAGCCTGTTCTCATATCAAAGGCAAAGTCCACGAGGGAGCTGGGGTCAGACCCCCCTCTCCTGGTCTCACAGGGCCCAGGGAAGTGGTGAGGAGAAATGAAACAATAAATGCCTCAGGAACACCGAACGTTTTGTTGTCAGGGAACAATGAACAATGAAATCTTTCCTCATTAGTGAGCAGAGGCGTTCTTGGCAAAACTATCGGCCCTCTGAGTTTCCACGTCTTACGTGCCGGGGCAGACACAGCGCTGCACACCCAGACGCGCTATGGTTGCCTTGGCCCCTTACACGGCAATGAAATGAACCACAGGGGCAGGCGAGGCAGGTGGCAGGCAGGTCACGCTGTGGAGAGAACCAGTGTTGTTCCTGCGGCGTCACTGCTTCACCTGCTAACTGGAAAGAGAGAATGTTCCAGAGGAAAAGAGTGGTGGGAGGGAGAAGACGTTCCGTGGGAGGAAACAGGTGGACTGTTTCTGTGTGCAGGGACACACACATACTCCTAGAAGGCAGGCCAGCCACGGAAGGACAGGCACTAGTTGAACAACAACAGCTTTAACGCAGACCTTTCCGAGGAGGAGACCTGGGGTGCGTTTCACTTGTGACGCATCTGCTTTCATGAACAACCTGTTTCCTGCCTTATTTGTACACTGTCTGATAATCCAGAACTAGCGTTGGTTAGTGCAGAACAGAAGGAGCAGAGAAGCCAAAGTGACACAGGAGCGCGAAGCCATCTTCGGGGAGCTGCTAAATGGCCTGAGCCTTCCAGAACTGCGGCGGGAGGCAGCGCGCCGGGGGTGTCCCCTGTGTTCTCTCCGAAACAACCAGGGGCCTGGCTCTTCGAACCGGGGCTGTGGTTCTAACTTTCTCTTGTTCTGGTTACTCAGATCTCTTCACTCGTCCGCCACCTTTCCGACTCCATCCAAGAGGGGTGTGAAACTGCCAATTTTGTTTCAAGTTCCAGATGTCTTATCTCAGGTACTCAAATTTTTTAATTGAAATAAAACCAGTAGCAGTTCTAGGATGACATAGGATGTGAATACATTTTTTATCTGCTTAGCACAGCCCCGTGCCTGGTATATCGTCAGTGTTCGAGAAATATTTGCTGAGTGAAATGAATGAGCACCACCCCCCTCGGCCTGTCTCAAGTGCCCTGGGGCCCCAGTCCACTAGAATTAAGACTAAAGACATAAGGTTAGAATCATCAAAAAGGGGGGAAATTAAATATAGAGGACTCTGTATCCCCAAGATCTTCAGGACTGTTTCTCAGCCTGTTTGGAACCAGTCCTTGTTTCTGGAGTCTTTAACCCCTTCCCCCAGTTGGTTATTTCTGTTACATTAAAAACTCCTGGCCGGGAGCGGTGGCTCACGCCTGTAATCCTAGCACTCTGGGAGGCAGAGGCAGGTGGACCGCTTAAGGTCAGGAGTTCGAGACCAGCCTGAGCAAGAGCGAGACCCCCGTCTCTACTAAAAATAGAAAGAAATTATCTGCACAGCTAAAAATATATATATAGAAAAAATTAGCCGGGCATGGTGGCACATGCCTGTAGTCCCAGCTACTCGGGAGGCTGAGGCAGGAGGATCGCTTGAGCCCAGGAGTGTGAGGTTGCTGTGAGCTAGGCTGACGCCACGGCACTCTAGCCCAGGCAACACAGTGGGACTCTGTCTCAAAAAAAAAAAAAAAACTCCTCATTTTCCCTCTGCCTCCCAGAGATGAGCCGTGACTGGCTGCCGGGTGACACTTGGTGGCACTGTGCGGCACAGCGGCTTCTGGGGCGCCTGTGCAGTCAGCACCGCCCTGAAGTGGAAAGAGGGATCACTCACGATATAACCAGATTCTTCACCTGAACACTCACGCGTTGCTCACAGAGCTGTTGCAGGCGCTGCCCGAAACGGTGCTCCTAAAGCATTTGGCACAGCGCCCTGCCCGGCGTGAGAACTCAGTAAACGTGAACCGCAGTTCCAGGAGCCCCGGTGTCAGTCGACAAACGCTTACTGAGCCCGTTTCATCTGCTTTAATGCAGATACAGAGATGAGTAAGGCAGCTACGGCCTACACAAGTGAGTGGGCAGACGGGACAGGGACGCGACAGCCCCGTGTGCCTCAGAGAGGGGGCGCAGCGCTTGCAGGAGAGGTGGGAGGAAAGGTCGCCTCCGGGTTGGGGGGGCAGGCAGGGTGGAGCAGGGGAGCGAGTCGAGAGCAAGCGGCGTCCGCACTGGGTCTGGAAGGTACATTTTCACAAGCGGAGGGAAGAGCCAGGGGAGGACGAAGAGCTGCAAAGACTCTCGGGTGAAGGGGAGAGTGTCAGCGAAGAGGTGGAGACTGAGAGCGCAGCAAAGGCTTGAAGAGCATGGAAGAGTCATGGGCATCCGTGGAAGGGAAGCAAGGAGGTGGGTGAGCCCCCCTGGAGCGCAGAGGACCCCAAAAGCCAAGAGCAGTGAGGAGACATTCCTGGTTTTCAGTACCGCAGTGTCAGGGTCCCAGCTATGCTTGAGAGTCACCTCTCCGTTCCCCTAACGCCCTGCACAGGCAAGTAGGTAAGAGTGGCCACCATGCCATGCCCCGGTGGAGGTCAGGCGGGGAGGCAGGACTGGCCTGGCAATTGCTACAGAACCAGCAGGAAGCCTCGCAGTCCCCGAGTCTCTCTGAAACTTCCTACTTAGACAGGCTCCCACCTGCTGCCGAACGCCTCCCGGTCCTGGGTTTGCTCTGGGTCTCTGCACGGTGGCAACCCAGGCACTGAGCCGCAGGCCCCGGCCTGGCTGCAGCGAAGGACGCGGAAAGAAAGCACCAATAACGACGGGGGAAGTGAAAGGCCACCCTCCAGCAGGGCTTAGCGTGGCTGCAGTAGTCAGGGCTGGCCACTAGATGGCAGTGAAGAGCAACGGCTTCCCGCCGCGTGGCCAATCGGCCGGGGGGAGGCCACATGGGTAGACCGAGACGGGTCACAAATACGCTGCCCCTACTAGGAGAGAGCACAGGTACCTCGCCCTCATCCCTTGGGTGAGAGAGAGTCACCCTTGCAGATTGGAAAGGCAAGTAGGAAACCTGGGATCCTTGTTCTGTTGGGGCACCAGGCAGGTACCTCAAGTCAGACCCCTGCATGCCACGCAGACCGCTTCAAATCCGAATCCGGCCCCCAGTGTCTGCTGCGAGCGTGAGGCCTGCACGCGTCTGCGTTGAGGCAAACACCGGCTCAGCCAGCAGCTGCTCCTTTCTGGAAAGATACTATGTTGTGTCTCATGGGAGTGGAATGTCCTGTGGACACTATCTCTCCCTTCATCCTCCAGATCAGGGACCTGCCGAGAAGCTGCTGGCAGTCCTGCAGGAGCTAGAGGCCGCAGACCCTGTGCGTAGGCACAAAGGTCCTGCCACCTGGCTCCCTCACTGTCACAGGTCAAAGAGCAGAACTTTGAACACCGACTGGCCAAGAGGCCTTCCTCCCCGGCCCAGGAGCCGCCGGGCAGAGGCAGGTGTACGCTGCCAGGAGCCGTGCTCCCTGATGAACAAAGAGGAGACAGGCTCCGAGACACAACGACAGGGAGAAGGAGACAGACAGCAAGAGAGAGAGACACACACACACAAAAAACACGAAGAGGGAAACAAAAGGAGAGGCAGAGCTGACAAAGAAGAAAAGCGGTAAATGGAGACAAAGAAATGAAGCTAAACATTTCCTCATTTAAACGTTTACTGTGGAGAGGCCTCTTCATTAGTCACCACTTTCACCCGCCATTTCCAGGCATTGACTCATGACTCCTTGAGATGCTGAGAAATAGGAAGGTGCGTCGCAATAGGCAGGTGATTGGGCCGAGAGGTGACTTGCACGGTGATCCAGGGCCAGGCAAAAGCAGATGTCTGTGGGGGACACGGAGAACTGCAGCTGGAGACCCTAAAACACCTCTGCCACTTGCTTGGGTTGAGTGGAAATTAGCTGGAGCTCCTCAGTTATTAGTAGGTTACAAATGTCCTCCACGAATGCCACCACACCCCCCCATCCCTGCCCCCACTCCCCTTCCACCCACTTTGCTCTGGGTTTGTTGTTCCAGTCTAATGAGTCAGAATAAAGACGAAAACATTATTTAATTTGCTTTTAGAAGACCTGTTACTAAAAGCTCTGGCTCAAAGATTGTGCAGTAGCACAGGCACGGATGGGAAAATGTATAGGATGGTGACGACCGACTTCCTCACTGCTAAGAACTCTTTTTGTAGTTTCTCTCCCATTGACCCTAAATTCTGAAAGCTCGTGACCACCAAGGAAACTACCTCATATACTCCTAAGTCCTTTTTATATTTATATTGTTTATATTGATCAAACACATATAACTACAAACACAATTTTTAAGGAGAAATAGTAATGAACACCACTGACCTGAAATAGTAATGGTAATAAAAATCAAATGTAATAAGTCTGGATGGTAGGTACATGGCTGGCTATTATTTTTTATATGTTTAAAATTTTTCCTAGTGAACAGTAAGAGTGTTTTGAAACTATATTCAGCTTTATTCTTTAATTGAAATGGCTGGTATTTTCAGATAGAAGGAAAATGTGTAACTATCGTTAGGTTTTTTTGGAACATTGAAAATAATTCTCTGAGCACTGCTTTTTGGACTCTACATGGTATAGAAATAATTACGCCTCCATATGAGTCCTAAGCGTCCGCTCTTCTTGAGGAAAGGTAGTCTGTCTTGGACTCTTTAAACTTTCTAGCTGACTGAAACTAAATAGATGTGTTATTGCACAAATCTCTTACCCTTTCTGGGCCGCAGTTTCCTCACTGGGTTAATTGAAAGTTGAGCCAGGTGGCCTCTGCGGTCTCTCTCAGGTAAGAAATAGAAAGGAGAAAAGGAACAGAGGTGTCGAGGGGCAGGAAAGAAGCTGATCTGTCCGTGCTTTTCACGTCGTGCTTGGGAGCCCTTTTCTAATCACCAGCTGGTGCTTACGGTTTCAGTTTTTCTGTGAACAGGTGTGCGTGGGGGCGGGGGGCGGGGGGAGAGAGAACATGGAGGGAGAGGGGGAGGCAGAGAGCGAAATAAGTTTCTCTGTTTCTTTACCAAGGATTCAAGAAGGTCAAGGACTTGGGCCATGCGCCAGCTCTTAGAAACCTCAGCAGATATTGTCCTCAGATGTTAGGATGTTTCCAACCGTGAAGTGTGGAGGAACAGGCCTTGGCTTCTGGGACTGGCCGAAATCTGCATTTTGCCTTGGCCAGGCCACAAATAGGTCGCTGTCACTCTCCCGTCACAACTGCCATCTGCAGTCCAGAGGCCAGCTGCTTGGAAAAGGAGAGTCCCACTAACATTTCAGTGCCTCTGCCTCTAGATGTGGTAGAACCCGAGGCTTGTGCTGTGAACCTGGACAGTTCGCTCTCCATTCTGCTACTGCTGCCGAGCCGGCCTTAAGGAAACCAAGAGTGAGACGGGAACGCTGCAGAGGAAAAGACCTTGGTTTGGGGCTGGGAAAGAAAGCAAGACAGAGTGGAGGAAATGAGGCCTGCGGAACATGGAACCCCAAATCATCCACTTTGAACTTGCAGATCACAGCTGCCCACCGTGTCTCCCCAGTGTGCTCTCCAAACGCAGAGGGTGGAGTAGCCAATAGTGAGTCTGAGGTGGAGTACAGCCGCAGATCAATGATCGGGTTGCACCTGTACACGTGAAGCCAGGACAGGATTAGAGTGGCTCCTTTGTCTTTTTGTCCACAAAGACCATCCTCAGTAAGGAAGGAGAGGCCCAGAGAGTTTACATTATTGACCGAAGTTGCTTAAGCTGCTCATAGACCCAGGTCTGGAATAGAGCTCTTTGGGCTCCCAGCCAGTGCTGTTCCCCGCACGTTACGTAGACTGAATTGGTTGTACTACAACACTAATGTCCTCTGACCTTTCCCTGAAGGCAGTGTAATAACAGTGATCTTCATGCACATGTGTATTTTGTGTTTTAGGTATACATATGTCGATTGCGCCCATATTTACAGCTGATAAAATGCTTACAATGACTCATTCATTCAACCAACATTTGTTGAATATTTACCATGCGCCAGATTCTATGATAGGTTCCAGGAACACAAAGATGTGTAAAACATTGTCTTGCGCTTAAATAACTCTCAGCCTGGTTGAGAAAACAAACACATTTAAAAAAAAAAAAGGAGGATAACAAGTAGGGGAGTACAAAATGCAAAGAAGCTACACCAAGTCTGTGATGCAATCAGAGAAGCAGACACCCACCTTAGGTTGGGGGTGGAGGCGGGGGATGGTAGGAGAGGCAGGAGAAAGGTTTTCGGAGAAAGTAACGTCTACGCTGCGTCTTAAGGGGTGAGGAGTCTGAGGAGTTAACAAGCCCGGGTAGGACAACATATAAATCCCTTCATTCTTCAGGGTCCAAGGGATGACGGTCGTCATGATCACGGTGATCCGCCATCACATTTACAGTTGTCATTAACCTACCAAGGTCTTGCCCCGCACCTTGGAGATCTCACGGATAGATTTGTTGCTTGATTTGCAAAGAACTCTGAGATTCTGATCCCTGTGCGGTCTAATAGTATCCTTATGCAGAAACCAGAAGTCTGGAAAGGGTGAAGGAAATAATTGTGGGGAAGACAAGAACCTGCTTCTAACTCTGCTGAAAACAAACCTGCCCAAGGATTGTCCCACACCCACCTGCCCCGTCCAGGTCTTCCTAATCCCCTCAGACTGAGTGAAAATCCACTTCTAGAAGCCTTTCCCGAACCCTCCAATCGGAAGTGGTCTCTCTCTCTTCTGAAGACCCAAAGGTATCATTGCCTTTTCTGCAGTATTTCGTGCATCCAGCCTGGAATAACAGTTGCAGAGAGGCATCTTAGTTTCAGACCTCAAAGAAATGAAGGCTGGACGGGGAACCTGAGCTGCAGGGCCTTACCACAGCCAGGGTGTCAGGGAAGACACGGTAGAAAGTTAAAGTGGCCCGAAGCCGAGGAATCAATACGTGCAGACTCTTCCTCTCTATCTCCCACTCCACCCCTCCTCCCACCAGACAATCTGGTCTGAAGCTGACGTGCTAAGTTATTTTTCATTTTGTTGCACAGTGTTTCCTGGGCTAGGAACACCCTGCTCTCGCCTTGTTCACCTCACAAACACCTACCCAAGCATTACCTGTTCTTTTAACCCTCCCCAGACCTTTCCTCTCCATCCCACCTCCCGGTCAGTTCCGTGAGCGGTTTCAGTTTCACTGTGGCCTCAATATATTTCCACCATAGCACCTTCTTGGTACACAGTCTGCGGGGTGGCAAGCAGCTTGGGGTCAGAAGCTGTGTCTTATTTATCTCAATGTCCCCAGTACCTAATGGATGGGCAAAGAAATGAGTTTGTGTTCTTCTCGTCTTCCTCAGGGCCAGAAACTTTGCCTCACAATGGATGTTTGTTATTGAATGAATCGATCTAGTCATTCACACTCATACTTTGCCGTATCAACCCACAACATTGTAATACTGAGTAGATTCTTTTAAACGCCCTGTGAAAATGAAGTATATTTTAACTGTTTGTCAAAAGAATCCAACTTTGTCAATACTTTTCAGTCCTCAAACCCAAGTGCCATTGGTCTCTCACAGGAGGAAGCTGCTCGCAGACCAGTCCAGCAAAGGTCACTGTAGGAGCACACCCCAGCCGCTCCCCGTGCTGCAGAGATATTCCTCCTCTTCCTGTTCCCCACACCTCCTCCCTAACCCCTTTCTGAACCTGCCCCCAAATTCAGCATCCACCCTGGGCGGGGCTCAGACCCAAGTGCCCATCTCTGTTTTTTTGGAAGACGCCCCCCCTTTGCTGCCCCAGGCACCCAACCATTTCCTCACCTCTCTGTCTCTCTTTCCCGTTAGGCCAGAAGGAACCAGAGTGACTCCATACTGCTCAGAAACAAGCAGCTGTGCTCCACATGTCGAGAAATAAATACAGTAGGTGTCGTTATCTCTGGGGGCGACAGAGATTGGCATGGACACCCCCAGGACACAGCACTACCCTTCCCCAACCAAAGCCCTGGGGAGAGGGACAGTGATGGGGCCTCTTGTGGGAAAGGCCTTGATAAAGGCTGCAAATGAGGAACTGTTGGTCCTGGGAGCACCATCGACTGACACGATTTGGTAAACCTTCCCCATTCCAACTGACCCAAAGTGAACCACGATACGTGGGCCAGAGTGGAAGAGACCAGCCACTTCACCCGCTGCACCAAGAGGCTCGGGAGGTTATGGAGCTGCCTCTCCCTGCCTAACAGCCCCAGCGCAAAACAGATGCACACACAATCCTTCTCCACGATTGCAAGAATGAAACAAACAGCTTAACCTTTGGGTTTATCATTAATTTAGTCAGCACCTCAGGAGAAAAGCTGGAGAGAGAGTCTATAGTACTTTCTAGCTGGTGGGGGTGGGGTGTCTCCTGCCCTGGATAGGTATAACTGGGAGTGGGGAATCATGGTAGGGGAGGAGTCTTAGGGAAAGAAAGGAGGAGAGAAAGGGGGATGTGGAAGGAACAAACTCAAACCTCTGCAGTCTGCAGGTTGCTGAAGAAAGAGGCCTGACTCAGGAGGGACGCCACACCAAGTTGGAGTTAGGTCTTGGGTTAATTTAAGGATTAGGGTTAGAGTTAGGATGGTTATTAGGGTCAGGGTAGGGATCAGGCTTGGGTTAAGTGTTAAATTAGTAAAGTGGTTAGGTTTAGTGCAGAAGTTGGGGGAGGTTCTCTTTAACTCTGATATCCTATCATTCTCCTTTGACTTGGGGAGGAAGGCAGAGCTAAACGTGCTTAAGAGGAAGGGCAAGGAGTGAAAGAACAAGAGGAGACATGAAAGAGGCTCTTTCACTGAGTTCATGGCAAAAGTGCTTCATGCGAGTAGGATATGGAAAAGAGCAGCAATCATGTAAAATTTTTCTGTGGAATTTGGAAATGTAACTGAGGCTTCTGGCAAAGCTGTATCTGGATATTGCAATCTATGTTCATTGTCTACATGATTCATGGTGTTCAATATTAGCATTGGCTAAAGTCTGGGAAACTAAGATTGGGATTTCTCTTGGTCTTCTTCCTAGAATCACTTGTGTCCGCATTTGCAACGCACTAACCCCAGGCCTAGGCTGCCCCTGGCCAGCTGGCACACTTGGGACATCAGCAGCTGCCCTCTTTCTCAGACCTTGTCTCTGACCTTTGCGCTTGTCCAGACCTGACAGGAGTGGAACCACACGCTGTAGTTTTACCATCTGCCACAGCTTCTAAAAGGAAGATCCTCAAACATAAAAGCGCTTAAGGACCCTTCCCCACTGCTGTCAGAACCTGGTGGGAAACTACAGAAAGTTAGAAAATAAGCATGAAATACCCTTGCCTCATGTTATGCAGTAGCACCTCAATGTCCTGCCAGGGGAAGGGATTGAAGACCTGCTGTGGTCACTAGGCCACCCCTCCTTTCTCAGCAGTGAGTTGAATGGAGATTCTGGGGAAAATATAAAAAGACTCCTAGGTATAGGTGGGAACTTCCTCAACATAACAAAGAACATCTATGTAAAACCCACAGCTGACATCACACTTAATGGTGAAAGACTCCAGTCTTTCCCCTAAGATGAGGAACAAGACAAAGATGTCTGCTCTTGCCACTTCTATTCAACATTATACTATAGGTTCTAGCCAGGGCAATTAAGACAAGAAAAAGAAATAAAAGCCATCCAGATTAGAAAGGAAGAAGTACAACTATGTTTATTTGTAGATGGCATGATCTTAAATGTAGAAAGCCCTAAGAAATTCACACACACACACACAAAAAACTATTGGAGCTAATAAATGAGCATAGCTGGGATTTAGGATATAAGATCAATATACAAGCATTAATTTATTTCCATGTACTAGCAATAAACAATCCAGAAATAAAATTAAGAAAGCAATGCCATTTATAATAGCATCAAAAATATACTTAGGAATAGATTTAACAAAAATGCAAAACTTGTGCATCAACAACTATAAAATGTAGGAATAAATTAAAGATGCAAATAAATAGAAAGAACCTGTGTTTATGGATTGCATTACTTAGTATTATAAAAATGACAATACTCCCCAAATTGATACATAGATTCAATGTAACCCTTCTCAAAAATCCCAGATGCCATTTTTGCAGAAATTGGCAAATATATCTTGAAATTCATATGGAAATGCAAGAGATCCAAAATAGCCAAACAGTCTTAAAAAAGAAGAACCAAGTAGCAGGATGTGTACTCCTGGATTTCAAAATTTACCACAAAGCTACAGTCAGGTTTATGTGGTACTGGCATAAGGATAGACATATAGATTAATGGAATAAAATTGAGAGTCCAGAAATAAGTTCTTACATTGACTTTTGTCAAGGGTGCCAAAACAGTTCAATGAGGAAAGAGTAGTCTTTTCAATAAATGGTACTGGGACAGCTGTATATCCACATGCAAAAGAATGACGTTGTACCTCTCCCTCACACCATATACGAAAAAGAACTCAAAATAGATAAAAGACCTAAATGTAAGAACTAAAACAATAAAACTCTTAGGAGAAAACATAGACATATATCTTTGTGATCTTGGATAAAGCAATGGTTTCCGAGACATGACACCCAAAGCACAAGCAGCAAAAGAATGTAGATAAATTGATCTTCATCAAAATCTTAAACTTTTGTGCTGCAAAGGACATCATCAAGAACATGAAAGATAACCCAAATATTTGAAAATCATAGGATAAGGGACTGTACTAGATAAGGGACTAGAATCCAGAATATATCAAGAACTCTTACAACTTAACAACAAAAATACAAACATCCCAATTCAAAAAAAAAAGAAAGAAAGAAAAATAATAATTAACACACACACACACACAAAAAAAAGTGAGCCAAAAATTTGAATAGATATTTCTTCAAAGAAGATCTACAAATGGCCAATAAACACATGAAAAGACGCGCAACATCTTGAAATGCAAATCGAAACTACAATAAAGAATAGAAATAGTGATAAACCTGATGGCGAGCGAAGGGAAAGTAAATATCAAGGAAGTATTTCTGGAAAAAAAAGACTATTTGGGGTTTTTAAGAATGAAAAGGAGTTCACCATGATACACTTTTTCTGAGAATCACAAATGCCATCTTTGGCAGCTTTGTTCTGATGTAGGCCCTGTAGCCCACTTCATGCATACAGTGGTACTAGCTGGATTTGGGAACTTCAGAACAGGGATCATGCTATTCAGGAGGAGGTTGAGAGTTTCCTGCATCTTTCCTTGGAGAAGAGCCAAGAGGAAATTTTAAAATTTTGAAAAATGGCAGAGTCTATTTCTGGCATATTCTCACCCCCTTGTAGGTTCTCACTGAAGCCTTGCTACCCCCACTCCCCCCAAATGTTCCTTGTTACCAGATCACCCCTTCTTCCCCTCCTCCAGCCTCCCCTCAGCTAATGAGTTAGGAGAACAATCTGATTAAATGTGGCAGGTGCTTGGCATTTGTGTAGACTTAATATTCAGGTTTTTACTATTTTCAAGTACGTCTAAAGGTCCTTGACATGTTGTAATTTTCAACTTTGTTGTGTCATAAATTTAAATGAGTCACTTGGTACAAGTCACTCAGTGCGCAGACCAGCTGAACACCTGCACCCACATCCTTGTGATTATCATTTCATTGTCATAGCTACAGTAATTTTTAAGAAGTAATGAAAAATGCTTCTTAGTGAAAACACACTCTCAAACGAAAACCAACAGCCAGTGCCAGGAACAAATTTGAAAAAGCTGAAGAAAATTCCGTTAAGTATTTATTAAGCAAAAATACTGTAACTGTACATTGATTTTAGCCCTTCATGAAGGACAAAATTAAAATTTTCAAGTGTGCTCCAAAGTGGGCTCATTCATTCACTAATTCGATCAAACAATATTTCCTAAACAGGCACTGTGTTGGGAGTTGGAAATACAAAAATAGAGACATGGTCTCTGCCCTCACAAAGCTGAAAGTCTTTCGGAAAAGCCAGACGTTAAGCAAGTAAATACAATATAAAGGTTATGAGTATTTTGGTAGAGGATGCCCTGAGAACATGAGGCAGAAGACCACCAGACAATAGTCCAGGAGTCAGTAGTCTCTGTGAGAAAGTGAAAGTTAACCTGAGACCTAAGAGTGTGTGTGTAGCAGGGAGGGTATTTAAACAAACAGATTTCAGAAGTTTACTAATTTCAACTGATAACTGGGGAAGAACAGAGACTCTGTGACTTGAGCACAGAGTGATACCCTCTGGTGCCTGTCACAGAAGGATGCATGAGCAACTTTGATATCAAACACAACTCCAGTTCACTAAGGTGGTACATTATTCACTTACATCAGAATGCAGTTATGGGCAATGTTCTAAATGAGACTTTCTTCCTCAGGTACAACCAAGAACTATGATAATCCCAGATGGTCTGAAACTATCCTTTGAGAATTTTATGAGTCGTAGGTAAGTCAAAGATTTAAATCAGGACATGACTTTAATTCTAGTTACATTTGAAGACACAGGATAGTGGACTGAGAAGCATAGCAAGTAGAACGTTTAGGGAATGGGCTCCTTGATTGGTTTCATTTTCTGGTTAAAAAAGATAATTAGATCAAACAAAATATTCACCCTTTTGCTCAAATGACCTTTGAAACTACTGTAGAAAGTAGAGTCTTCCTTTTCACCTTCACAAGAACCGCATGAGGAATAGGATAGGAGATTTCTTTGATAACTTGGGTAGAACTAAATACAAATTCTCCATATAGGTAGCATACTAATTCACAAGATCTGGGAGATTACACATAACCTATCCTAAATCCAAGGCATCCTCTACTACTTTTTAGTAACTAAAATTTTCTTATCAGTTTGTTTAGCTGTCATTTATAGCTTTCTTATCAAGATCAAGTATAACAGAAATAAGATTCAATGAGAATTCTGATTAGTTGGTTTTTCAAAGTTTTTTTTTTCTGTATTTAACAATCAGACAGGGAATAAGGACTCGGTTTTTACTTTGTTAAAAAAATCAAAACATGGACTCACCCTGGATAAGGCATAGACATAGGCTGACTCTCATTGCAGTAGAGGGCTGGAATGTGGGCATATAGTCCGCCTCACATATGTATGACCAACCACAAATGTTAGATGTGATCTAATGGAAATACTTAATTTTTTTCCTCATACAGAGAACAATAATGTGGGAAAATAAATAGGTCTCTCTGTACCCCTATGTTTCACAGTGGGAGATATTCTGATTCCTTTTATGACCTTAGGACCACGTGTTCCAGATTGATGTATAAACTCAGATACATTGAAACCATGTACCTGGTGCCTGGACCAGGAGGAAATGGCTATTTGGCCAGTACAAGCTCCAGCATTAATAATATTTACCTATGTTGATTTTGTACTTTTAAAGAACTTTTGGTCATCATAAAAGCAATTCTAATAAATATTCTCTATGGACTTTAAGTGAAAAACTGACTATCTAAAATCAGAGATTTCTAAGCAAAAATTCACTCTTCTATGACATTGACTTTTGAAATTTCTTGCTCCCTTTTATTTGTCTTGAAAGTTTCATACTTTAAGCCCTAAATCCTAGAGCATTAATGGTTGTATTTTAAACAAATAGCTCTTATCCCTTTAAAACTAAGACCAAGGATTGAACCAGTCCTAAAATCATGTCAACACTAACCAGAAGTATCATTAAATTGGCTATTATATATTTTTTTCAGTGTAGTGAGGGAAAGTGTACCACTTCTGTTTGAGACTTAGCTAGAGTGACTATAAAGCAAGGTCCTGTTTCTGTTTGTAGCTTATAAAATCTGTTCTCATAGTCTTTGTCTCACTACATAGATAGATAAGTGGAATTGTCCTCGCTAATAGTTTTTTAAAAGTGACTTTAATTATAGCCATTTCAGGAATGAAAATAGTGTTTGTTGAATGGAAGGGATGAAAAAAAGAAGGAAGATAGGGAGAAGGAACAAGAAAGGAAGGAAGAAAAGATATTAATAGAAGGATGGATAAATATTTGTTGGATTGTAGAACACACAGATTTTAAATGATTCAGTCCTGAAAATACCCCTTCCCTCTTTGCCCAAAATGGATAATAGGAGGGGTTTTTCTTTCTCTTTTTTTCAGTCCTCCAATGGCAATTGAATAAAATAAACTAACTGAACTGGTCACATTTTTGGTAGCAAAGCAAAAATGATCTCGGAAGATCATTGTGGAAGTAGCAACCATTAAATGAGTGGAGAGCCTTAGATAGCACTTTAAAGTTCACAAATTTCTCACCCTTTTGAAATTAAGCAATTTCAAAAACCACTTAGAAATGGTTTGGGCTCATACACTTTTTGGTCGAGGGTCACTTCCACAGTGCTGGCCACCAGGAGAAATAGGATATGATCAGGACATTTTCTCTAAAATTGGAAAATTCTAACCAAAATATTTTCTCAGTTTTGCTCTTTAAGAGTAGATTACCAATCTGGAAGAGTTGTTACTTTTTTTCTGGAGATTGGGGAATTCTTTCCTTAATACTTCCTATTTCAGACTATATAAGTTCTGAAAGTGGATTAAAACATTTTCAAAATGAAGGTTTTACCAAAATGCATGAAAATATCAGTAAGTAGAAAATATCATTAAGTAAAAGGCGCTGCAGAAGTAGCATCTTTGGACCATCATCTCCCACTGCCGTGAAGCGGCCTGATCACCAGCTTCATAGGTGCTGCATTCAAGAGACCACCTGTGGTTTAAAATGTATAAAGACACATTCCTTGCAGCCAAGCCCTAGCCAATTAGCTAATGGGTTTTCTTGCCTCTTCCAATCAGAATGAAGAGTCTTCACCAACCCAAAGCCCGGACTGTACCTAAACCTTCCCATGAAGACATCTCAAAAGGTTTGCTTTCTTTTAGAGTACTTGTGCATGAAACATACTGTGCCCAGGGTAGTAGAATGAAGAGTTTCATCCCTGAAATAATCTCTAAATTTCCTGAGCAGATTCCCATTCTCATCCCTTTTTCTCTCATCCCTTTACCTTTGGACCTGCTGGGGTTGGTTCCCGGCCCTCCCTTCACTCCAGCCCCACCTGTGCCCTCCTCAGGCCTCACTTGTCCCTCCCCTGCCCTCTCCCCGCCACATGGCTCTGACCAGTAATCCTCCTGCTGAAGACTTTCCATGGAGATGGGGCGGAAATGAGATGCAAGTCCCTCCACAAGCAGTCCTGATGGCACCGATCAACATGGGGAGGGAACCGCGTCTCCTCACCCCTGGAATGGCTTCACCGAGGCCCTGGACCTTTCACCGCTCAGACTCCCTAGAGTGCCTGCCTTCCTCCGGCAGCTGCCCGGTGCTATTCTTGTCTTCGCTTGCTGTTGACAGAAACAAGGAACGCGGCTCTATCCCAGGCTTCAGCATTGACCTAAGTCTCATTCTTTAGAGAACGCTGGGCTGGTGACGGTGGTAGTGGGCCATTCTCTGGGGTGATATAATTCAAGGGTTTAGTGCTGCACAGTCTGTCACTTTAGTGACTTTGTCCATCTTCTCATTTGCTCCCATATTAACTGAAGCCACCTGAAATTTTTCATTTATTTGATACATACAGTAAGGAAAATTAAGATTATTTTCTTCACTTTATACAGATGGGAAAGTCTAAGCTCTATCCTGGGAGGTTGCAGGGGAGCTACAGCCAGAACTGAATGGAGAAGGCATCTAGAAAGGAAATTTGAGGACAGAAGAGATGCCTTGAGGGGATGCCAAAAGGGAGTACCAGAGACTCGAGTAACAGCTGGGGTTTGGAGATACCCACTCGAGTGCAGTGAGAAGCTGCCAGCCCCAGTGAATCACTTCTTGTGTATCCAAAAATATTGGCCTAGTTCCTGGCTCTCGTTTAGCCAAAGTGGAACCAAGAGCCTAGAGCTAAGAGAATCCACCTGATGAAAGCTGCTTACTCTGCTGTCCTCTGGTCTGTGACCACCTTATTCACCTGAAGCCGAGACAACACTAGAGATGGGCGTGAGCAGTTGGTTTCAGGGTTATCTATATTCATTCTGAGTTTCCCTTGGACCTGGATTTTTTCAGACCTGTCTTGCAAAGGAATGAATCAACCACACACACCCACACACACACACATACTTTCTCTCTCTCTCTCTCTCTTACATGCTTTTCCTTCAGCAAAAATATTTATTTTCTGATACTATAGGACAGTGCACCACTATGCCTTTCACCAATTTATTAGTCCTGGGAGTGTGCTTCAATTAGCAATTTAAGAGCTAGATGTGGTGTGCATGGGGACAGTACGTGATATTCTTGGATGACCCTGATTCTTGCCCATAGAGTCCATCCTAAGACAACAATCTTGGAGGTGGGACTTCAGGGAGCGTGGTTGTAAAACTGGCTAGGAGCTAAAGCGTGGCGAATCTACTGTTGGTTCCAGTTGTGACTCTTCTGAGTTGACCTTTGCTCTTGTGTGTGATCTCTGAGGTCATGGAAAAAGCACTAGCCTAGGAGTAATGAGACCTGGGCCTGAATCCCTATCTTGCTGTATAGGCTTGGCCTCCATGTTCCCACCTGTGAAACCAGAGTAGTTGTTTTGTCCCACTGAGAACTAGACATTCAGCACAAGCAGCCTTCGCCATTGACCAATCCAGGAAAACTGCTGATATAGCCCTAGCTCCGCTGGTTTCTACAGCTGAGACACGTCCATGCTGCAGTTATTGTTCTTATTGTTGAAGCCACCACCACCTGGGCTGTGTTCCCTGTGGACATGCTACAAATACCAAGTGGCTGATTCGTCCCAGAGAACATTACTGCCAATGATTGCCTAACTCATCTGTTGGTCACAACAGTAATTTCTAGCATTTTTCAGGATTCAGCTAAACCTTACATATTATTGATAATCTTTAATGAGAACAAAATAAACAGAAAGAATCTATCTCTACAAGAGATAGGAATTCTTTCTGGGTTCATGCATCTTTGGCCAGATCCCAGAATCCCATGATACTCAGAGGTTCCTGGTCTCAGTAAACATTGGTACAGATGCTAACCATCTGACTCGGGCCTACCACTGCACAGTGGCAAGAGATGGCACGAAGACCACTGGGTTAGGGTTAAGGATATCTGGGTTTGGGTCTTCAGTCCATTAGTGCTGTAACCCTGGGCTGCTGTTTCCTCTTCATTACAGTCATGAGAGTAAACTGGGTCCAGATTTGAGATCTGGTAATGTCTCTAGCTCTCATTCAGCTGGACCTTGTTCTCTGGAGCTTGTTCCAGAGAATTCAGGGCTCCAGTGCCCTTAGTTATTCAGCAATTCCCAATGGGAAGGGATTATTTCATGCAGTGATTTACTCTTCTTCAATCAGTATGTCTTTTGGCAAAATGGAACATTAACCCACTTTCTGTAAATCAAACCATATTTGAAGAAGTGGTCAGGATGGTAAGAGGTCATGATGGTTTCAAGAACCCTAAAATAAATTATTTCATAAAATGCAGGTTTATTTTGAAATGAAATACCTTCTCTCCCTACTCTACCCCTACTCTAGCCTTTTTTGTAAGATCATATTTGTTTATTTTTTTAAAAGAACAGAACTATATGTGTGTCCCTGAAAAGTCTCCTGAGAATTGAATCCTCTTTTCCCTTTGATTCATATTACACCTCCAGACATGTTTCACCTCTATAATTTAATTGGCAATGACTTCTAATATGTGAGTTTTGTCTCTAGGTACTCCTTTTGGCCTCTTTGACAAGATGTATAAAAGCTTAAATGTCATGTGGGATAAGATGATTTTATTCAAAGAATTTCTTATGTGAATTTCGAATCTGTTTTATAAGGTTTGGTGGCCTTTGGTTATTTTGAGTTGCTTTAAGAATAGAATCTAAGTAGCTCTTGTCCTTCCTTCCTTTGTGCACCGTCCTCCAGACAGCGTTCACTACAGACTGCCCCTTCTGGGCCCCAGGACAGCTGCCTTCCATGGACTGCTGACAGATGCCTACAACACTTTGCAGGCGACGCAACCTTCTGCCTTGCCCAAAAAGGAACCAATGGGCAAGACAACGAGGAAGTGAGTAGTCAGAGCTCATCACCCTCCAGACTCACAGAGAGAAAACAACCCACCAAGCCACTCTCTGACTCTAGTACTTTCTCCTCACAGTTTTCTTCTCCTCGTAAAAAGATGACTTAATTTTGCCTTCCTAAGAGTTGCTGGTATTCTAGCTCTTGCCACCATCTTCTTACTCACTTCTCCTAAAGACAAACTGGTTTCATTTATATACAGATTTATTGATTAAAATGGAACATAGTGAATGTCTCTCATTTTATTTTGTTAAGGGCTCTTATCTATGTTAAAATGGACAACATACTTCTGTTTCTAAGACACAAATTTTTGGTGAAAGTTATCTCAGCTCTTCCTTCACAGCAGGGGCCAGAGAAGGCTCCAGAAGGTCCCTCTTGGATTCAGCCTATTTAAGAATAAAGGAGAGAAAGGGAGGTCACCCTTCCATCATTGTCTCTGGTAGATGACGGAGGATGCTATGATATGATGACTGGAAATTGACAAGTGATTAGCTGTTGGGACCCTCGAGCACAGGAACGGTGCCTTGCCTTGCCTTCCTCGCATCACCTCCTTTAGTGCCTTGCATATATCAGATGTTCAGCTAATCCTTGCTCAGTCAATTCCATACCAAGTGCTTGTATTTTGTAGTTTGGCTACTTTAGTTTGAGGATATATGCCTCTAAATCTGTCCCGGTCCTCTAGATCTGTCCTGGTCCATGTGTCTGCAGTGTAAGAGAGACAAAAGAAAATTCTAGGCTCTTAAAATTATATTTACGGGCACATATGTTCCGTGCTCAGCTTCAGAAGGGTTTATATAAAAAAGGACCCTTTTTCTGGTTCAAGCTGGTGTTTGGGAAAAAAGAAAAACCAAAAAAGGCCCACTTTGTTCCTTGGGAGACAATGGCCTTCTGGCATCCCAAGATCCTGACTTAAATGGACACTGGACCTGCACGGGAGAACCAGCCTCTGTGCCAAACGTATGTGAAGAGTGGACTTCAGAACTCTCGAACAAATCTCCTGAACTCAATTCTTACACAAAACAAAGAAACCCAAACAAACAAACTAACAAACAAAAATCGAGAAACTTGTTTGGTTGCCCTATATTCCTGGTAGGCCATGTTTCTTGGTTTCAGAGAACTCCCAAAACAGTGCCCATGAATTCTGATCCCATTTCCGATAATCGTTGAAGGACAGACATATCACAGATCACAATGTTTTCTTCTTCTTCTTCCTCTTCTTTGTCTTCTTCTTCTTCTTCTCCTTCTCCTCCTCCTCCTCCTTCTCCTTCTCCTTCTTCACAAATTACCATATCTAGTAAAAGGATTGGAGTGTACGTATACCTATGCATGGGGTTGGGGGGGGATACATGTTCCATACACAATTATTTGGAGATTTTGAGATAATCTGAATATTCTGGGGCTAGTGAGATAGAATCCTTCCTAAATCTCAAGATGGCTTCATCTAGAGTACTTGGACATTTGTAAAATATCATTAAAAAATAATAATAACATCCTGGTGTTTGTTAGTATGATGACAGAAAAGTGCTTCTTAATTATTTTGGTCTTAGGAACATTTTACAGTCTTAAATATTGAGAACCCTAAAGAACTTTTAAAAATGTGGATTATATCTATTGATATTTATATTAGAAATTAAAATAGAGAAACTTTTTAAACACTTCCATTAGCTGTCAGCGTGATGACATTATTACATGTCATGTAGCCTCTGGAAAACTCTACGGTACTTGAGAGAGTAGAAGAAGAAGTTACTATGTATCAGTAAAATAAATAAAATTTGTAAAAAGAATAAGAAAGGCAAATAACACCTTAGTATTGTTATTCAAGTAATTGTGACTCACAGACACCCCATAAGGGTTTCAGAGACTCTGAGGGGTCCCTAGTCTATACTCTGAGAAGTTCTGGTCTACGTGATGTACCCTTGCATCTCTGATCCTCCAGGGAAAGAGATGTCAGGATGTTTTAACTCACTCATCTGAATAATCTGGTCTCTGGGCAGAGATATTACAGAAGAGGCAAGAGCAGGTTTTCAAAGTTTGATGATACTATAATAACTTTTAGCATCGTTTAATTCCCTTTGCTCGGATTGTCTACTTAACAACTTTATAATCTTAATTTGGTTTCTCAAATAGTGTCCCAGTGAGAATACAGTGGATTGACCAGTTCGCACAAGAAGTCTAGTTCCCTTTGAACTCTCATTTATGTATATGAATGATTGTTAGTTTATTTGCTTTTGGTTAGTGTGAACTCACTTCCCAGAATCCGACATCTAAACTTGGATGCAGCATGGCCTCAGCACCCAGCGATGCCCCATCTGCAGCTGTGTTGAACAGTTAGCCAGCTGGTGAATTTCCTCTCACTTTACTCCCACAACCAAATCCTGGAGAGCAATGGCACTGCAGGAAGAATTTCCTAAATTGAGTAGCACAACTGTCACATACCTCTCCACATGACTAACCCAAGCCCGTCATTTCAATTTGAACTTTCAAAGAGATTTGCATTTATGCTGCCTGATTTTTTTTTCTATCAGTAGTAAAGTTTAACATAAATCATCTGATGCCAAACTGTGCTTCTATTTGCACTGTGGGGGTCAAATGGCTGACTGTCATCTCTCTTGGCCCCGTCTTTCCTGCACTGAGTTGGATCCTTGGAGGTAATAATTTGGGCTCATCAGTTCTTTCACCTACTGCGTATTCTTTAGCATCACCCAAAACTTTCATAAATGAGCCAGAGCACTTTCTTCACTATGAAAATCTACGCATAATGCTACTCCTGATTCAAAGTCATGTACAGTTAGATTAATTTTGTAAAATGAATGATCTTGGGTATTTTTGTTTGTTTGTTTCAAGTCGAAAGTCTGCTTTGCTATTTAAAAAAAAAAGACTTATTATAATACAAGTCCACAGACATGAGTCAGAAACACACCTACTCTTTCATCTTCCTTCACTCTAACAGGGAACTTAAAAACAAATCAATCTGCATAATTCCTTTACTGCCAGGAATGGAAAGAAATTCTGCATTTAGGAAAAGCCACGCTGTAGCTTTAAACACGCCAAGTGTTTAATTCAAGGCCATTGCCACATCCAGTTTCCAGTTTAGTCTTGGGAAATCCTAGTCTCCACTGCCATGTGTTCTGCTCAGGGCCACTCATGTTTTCCCTTGCCCAGGACTGTCAAATCTTACGTGAGGCTTGTCAGGGCCTGTTGCATCCTGGGGCTGCGGGTATCACACACTGGAGTGCCACGATCCTGAATATATCCAAGAACCATGTAACTCCAGGTTGCCTGGTTGTAGCAAGTTTGGCAGAATTGCCTTGTTTCCTCCCAAGCAAAGCCCTGTTTAGAGTGTCCTGTTTGGGTGTACTTACTCAGGTTGAGGGAGGTCTTGGTGATGAGGAAGGCATTACCGAACAGAGTACAGAAGATTTCCAAGAGGAGGAAAAACCGTGGGCCTTGTTTCTATTAATAATCCTATAAACTAAGTCTTGAGGAGTCAAGGTTAAACTAGAAAATTTATTATAGAAATGGATAAATTTTAACCCCTAGAGAAAACTAGATGATCAATCTTGTTTCAACCATGTCATTCTCAAAACCATCTTAATTTAGCACATTATGAAATACTGACTGTGCTTCATATATATAATTCTTGTCTCTCTAGAAAAAACATATAGCTTAATGAGGATAAGAACAATATCTCATGTTGACACCCTAACCATGCAGGAGCTACCCAGCACATACTTGAGACATATTTAGAATGAAAAGAAAGTTCATTCCTAAGCAATAAGGAAACAACAACAACAACAGCACACACACACACACACACAAAGGAACTAAGATCCCTGAATTTAAAGCTGTGAAGCTACAAACGTTTTAGAAATTAGAACCCTGCCTCCTTTGAGGAACTTATAATTTTGATTGGGGAAAAACACACACACACGCACACACACACACACACACACACACACACAAAGAGCAGAGGTACAGGGCTGTATGTGAATAAGCAGGAGTTATTATGCAAACTGAACACCCAGTGATCACAAAAAAAAAAATGCTTTCCATATCACCAACCTTGCAGCTCCCTGGACAGGAACAAAGAGGCCATTGTGTGACCCTCTCAGGAAAGCTGGTCAGAGGGAAAAGAGCCATATTCACGCACACAGGATGTTCTCTCTTATTCTTCATAAAGTCGTTGGCAAGATGTTCAACTGCCCGTCCAGTGAAGTGCAGAATATTGAAATCAGGCACTGGCAGATAGCTTCTGCTTCGAGGAAAATTTGTTCCTAAACCTCTTGGGATTGTCCTCAACTCAGTCCGTGTAGTAGGGAGTATCCTGTGGGGATATCACACAGCCAGAGAGTCAGGAGATTCTTCCTAGATTCTCACGTTGAGAAAAATGCATACACAGTAAGGTGTGCATAAAAACAAGAAAGATATTGTAATATTAGTCCTGAGGAGTGGATCTGAATGACTAAAGCACAGAAATTGCCCAAGAAAGAAGGTTTTTCAGAGTACACCCTTATTTGTTCTTTGAATTTTAAACCACGTGAATGTTTCAGTGACTCAAACCAGAGAAAACTTTTCAAAGTTGCCAGAGGGCTAATCTAGGTGATAAACTATCAATAATTGTTTGTTTTCCTGACACTCAGACAGCATCGTCCTTGAATACTACAAGGTTCAGGCAAGTGTCCAGTTCAAAGAATGAATTTTATCTCTGGCCTCTGAAAGTTTTGCCCCTGAAATGCTGGCACTGGCAAATAGTAACAAAGTGTCACACTCATGTCACATTTTAAACTTTTTCAAAACACTTTCACTTGTCTTTCCTCTCTCTTTGTATCTAATTTACCATTGTTCTCCTACCATTAAACAAAAGTAACAATGTTTCACACAATGCTATCCATTTTAAAAATGTAGCTCTTCCCTGGGGCACTTCTACAAACATTCTTTATTTTATCAAAACAAGTGCACCTGGTTCTTTTTTAAGGCACTGCCTGCGTGGGAC